ACAAATCATAAATTATTTAAAAACTAACTGTAATATATAATACTTACCTCTTTGACCGTTCACTATTCAAAATATAATCACAATACACATATTTCGTTTTCCCAATCCCTATTGGTATTTTAACCAGCGACATTAGAAATAAAAAAAATAAGAATGCAAATATTCATCAACAATACAAATAATGAAGCACACAAATGTTATTTCTGTTTATGTTCCAAACAAATATTAGTCCACAATTGCTTGCCACTAACCTTTCTCGTACATCTTGCAACCTACAAAATATAATTTATATTAGTCACAACACTACAAGAAAAATATCAACTGAACGTACTATTATTCATTTTACCTTTTACTTTTTCAGCTGTGCATAACAATCAAAACAAATTTCAACATCAATGCATACATTAGGTGTCCTAAATTCAGAAGCGGACACATCCCCCATCTCATGATGTTTCATTAGTTCATCTTCCTTTTCTTTTAGCTTTATTATTTCGAACAATTGTTTATTACATTTTCTATATCATCAAATTTATTTTCAATAGATCCAAAAAAACTCTTAATCTCATTCATTTCTACCCTCAATTTACTAACTTCATTCACCACTAAACCCTTTTCAGTTCATTAACCTCATGAACACATTTTTTTTCAAGTTCACCAACACAACACTTAATCTCCTTTATTTCGCCCCTTATTTTATCAACTTTCTTCACCACTCCATCCAATTTTTCATTTGTTTTTTCCTCAAACTCCTTACCATCAAACTGGAGGGTATCAATCGCTTCATTAATTCTAATATATCTTTTACCAACCTCAGAAACAATTCATTTAATTTGCAACAACTCAAACATAAATAATTCAAGTTTCTCCATCACCATTTCGTTCGTAAAGTCCCCTTACTAGAATATTTCTCTCCAATGTTCTCTTCCTCCAAGGAAGGAACCTTTAAAATTAGATTACAATAGTAAACAAAGTTGTTCAATGCTTAATAACAAAAGCTGACTTTTATTACCTTTTATTTCATTTTCGGTCTTTTCGATTTCAAATTTTCCATTATTCAAACCACATCATCCTTGGCCCATAAAAGAATGCGCGATATCCCTTTTTTTTCCAGTCAATACACTTGTAGAATTTGACTAGAAATCAAACAATACAACTTGTATTCAAAATGAACTTACTCATTCTATTGCTACAATTCAATTTATTTAAATAAGTTTTATAACAAAATACATTTATAATACTCATTTACCTCTAATATTGCAATGCAACCTTTTAGGTATGTGTAGTTTATGGGCTTCTAGAAGCTAACTATTACATCTATCAATTTGTTTGCAACGAATTTTGCCTAATTTAGTTCACCTTTCATCCCTTTGTCACACAACAACTAATGTAACCTTAATCTTTGTACTATATATCCTGCTAAGCTTTTTTTTTCAATCCTCCCTCTCAACTACTTCTTCGACACAAGTCCTTTCATTTTTTAGCCCCAACACCCTACAACTTCCTGAACCCCCCAGAGAAAATGAATATCCACTGAACCTAATTCTATGGTTTTTAATATCAAAATTCTCTATCAACTCCAGACACAACTCCCGACGAATTGCTCATGTCGTTATTTCAATCAAAGTATCGAATCATATTTCTTTGATAACATTTAGTTATTCCTTTCCTTTTAGCTCTTCCATCAATTCATGCATTCTTATCAAGCTATATTTTGTCAAGAGTTTCTACATTTATTTAAAAACATGTTATGTTATATTCTACACAAGCTTTATAAAAAAAGTTACATCTTTATTTAATTGTGAAAGTATTACTCCTACCTTCTTTTTATGTGCACTCCTACATGCATTACATACTTCTTTATATTTCTGCGATAGTTTAACAGAAGGTTCTTTCTCCTCTTCGGTCATCAACTTCCATTTCAAATATGCTTCTTTTCATCTGCAATCAACTTTTCTTTATCAATAATCTTTATAATACTCATTCTCTATAACCTTGTCAATTCAATTTACATACAAACATAACCAACCTTTTTATACGATGCTCCCTTCAACCGTCGACATTCACTCACACTATAAACATTTCAAATTTGTCACCAATCTAAAAATCTAAAATACTTAATTTCAATAACCACCATTCAACCAAGTATTAGACAAATACATGGTTACTTCCTAAAAGTGCATATATGGAGACATTGATTGCTTCGGCCTTCTTTCTCTCTCAGTTGTCTCTTGATCCTCGAAATCATCTTCTTCTCAAAACACAATTGACATGTCATTTGTTTCTTCCTCATACGTTTTTTGTCCACGTGATGCCAACTTCTTCTTCTTCCTTTTAATTCATTAGATATAGATTTCAACAATATATGTTGCGATTAACAATTCTGTAAATGTAAATGTAATTGATTTTCATAACTGATTATTATAGTAATCTTTTATGTACAACCAATAACGTTCTCTACAACCCAATCTTTCTCTCTCAGTAGTCTCTTGATCTTCGAAATCATCTTCTTCTTGAAAAACAAATTGACATATCATTTGTTTTTTCCTCATACGTTTTTTGTCAACGTGATGCCAGCTTCTTCTTCTTCCTTTTAATTCATTACAATATAGATTTCAACAATATATGTTGTGATTAACAATTCTGTAAATGTAAATGTAATTGCTTTTCATAACTGATTTTAGCCATAACTGATTTTAGCCATAACTGATTATTATAGTAATCTATTATGTACAACCAATAATGTTCTCTACAACCCAATATTTTCTATTCAACCTATAATGTTACATTGCACTTGCTTTACTAACCCCATTTATTTTTCATTCATTCAAACTATAACAATAATTGATCTATTATTTTACATATTTCTCCTATAAATTAAACCATAATCCCTAAATTCAAATTCCTTAATTGAAATAATTGTAAACTAGGTTTTCACGAACATATCTCTCTATTCTACAAATTGCAATTTCAGTTATATTCTTTAGTATTGATGTATATTGCTTAGATGGAAAACGAATTCTACAAATGAAAACTTTTTCTTCTATTCTCTAATTCTACCCTTTACCTTCCCTTAACCGGTTATGTTATCTATAAATACTTGATAATTTTCCCTTTGTATCGAAATATGTGGAAAAGTTCGATACTTTTAAAGCCTTCTCGTCTTCCTTTTTTTTAAAATAGAAAATATCGATACTTCAAAAAATAGTATTGATATAATCGGTTTACAACACAAAACGTTCTATCTAGAAACAAAAAAAAATTATCCGTTTATATAATAATATTGGTTTAAATTTAAAATGTTACCATTCTAATTAGGGGTGTTCAAATCCGGGTACCCACTTTTTTTGGTCCCTAAGTACCAGTTACCCGGATGTTCGGATAACTAAAATTCGACCCATAACCCGGCCCATAATATTCGGGTACCCGTAAGTTGGGTACCGGCTAATTCGGGTAATATGGTACCCGATTCCTTTCTCAAGAATCCATCTAGTGTAGTTTTCGTCTAAATTAATTTTTCCAGAGATTTTATAGACTTAATTATTGAAAGGCTTGCAACTGGAAGAAAAAAAATTTCTTCCCTTGATTCACTTAAACAAACAATTAAGTTGCAGCAGACAAACAAATATTATTATGATCTAATTGAAATGCTAAGAACAATGTTTATTATCAGATACTATTAACAACTAATGATATTAGAAAACATTGATAATTATTTATGTATTTCAAGGTTCTTTAATAAACTGCTTTACCTCTAAAATCCAACAAAAGTCGACTAGCAAGCCAAGGACAGAAAGGGGGCAGGGTTGAATCTAAATAATTGAAGACACGAACAATTGAAGATTGAAGATTTAAAATAACGAGGGTTGAAATTGAGAAAGTATTTGGGGCTGGCGTAATAACATTGGTTGGCTCTAGGTCTTAGGCTACTTGTTAACGAGTGATGGTGAGAAACGATGAGAGCACCGAGCAATGAGTGAGCACCTGACCGGTAGATATGTGAGCACCGAGCAGTGAGTGATCGTCTGGCGAGAGAGATCGTGCATGAGGGGACTAGGGATTGAAAATTTACAATTCGAGATTGAGAATTGAGGACAGTTGGACGAGGTTAAAGATTTTTTTAATAAAATAATATAAAAATTAATTTAAATCAAATAAAAAAAATCGAGTATCGCGTCAGTATGTACCTAATTAAAACATATATCATGACCTGAGCCTGACCCGAAAACCCAAAAAAATAGTGGGTTGAGTATAGGACCTGTAAAATCAGGTATTTTTAATATAATTATCCAATAATTTTAAATCGGGTCAGCAGATCAACGGATCGGGTAATTTTGAAGACTCCTACTTACAACGATCACAAAAAAGTTAAAAACCGTCAATGTTATTAGTATATTTAACATTTTAGGTTGCCTCTTCAAATGTTACCGAATTTTAAGATGATGTAAACTTATTCATTCACACAACAACAAAATAAGTTGGTTGTTATCTAAAGAATAGATTGTAATATGAAATGTTATATATTTCGAAACTATCGATATTTTTGTACAAAGTATCAATACTTACCGGTAAAATAAGTTACCTGATGAAATCATTTTAAATTATTTTAATTACTTGCAACCTAATATATTAAATTTAATTCAATATTTTCAGACTCTGTAACTTTAAACCTATTTTCTTAAATTTCTTTTAAAATTTCTGATAGCCGGTTGCGCCGTTTTCCCCCCTCATAGTACTCTTCCCTTTCATAGAATTTCCTCAGGTCATAGGATCCAAACCCTAGTGATAATCTTTTACACGCATCCCCAAGGAAGCCAAACGAGATCCACATCTCACTTGCACCGTCGCCAATGTTGGAAACTTGGAAATTTCCAATCACAAGCACCATTCCAACCAGCAAAAAAGACTTGGCATGCAGCAATGAAAACCAAGAACAAAATGGTGTTCATGAAATAGAAAAATAAACAATTGCTTCTCACTCAATCTGTAATCTATATGATATATTTGATCTCAACCAGGGCGGGAGTATCAAATTTACTACCGCAAACTTACAAAGAAACAACTATAATGATTTCAATTATACAACCGTAATCTCTTCGAGAATACGGGAAAGGATTGAATCTATCTATATGTATAAATCTCTCTCTCTCTCTCTCTCTCTCTCTCTTTATAATTTCGTTCTCCTAAGTACTATGTTCAATAACAAATGGGGTTAGTGAGAAATCGAATAGCGACATTATCAACCAAGGATTAGAGGATTATCAAGGACAATGGAAAATCTTTATTTTTTCCAGGCATGAACAAGCAAAGAGAAACCAGTAGGAGCACTTAACTCACTCTCCTCCACGCTTGCCCACTCCATTACGGAAGAGCTGCCTCCTGAGGAAGCCGAAGACATAGAAAGCGAAGAAGATGATGAGCTTCTAGCAGTCCTCAACAAGCTTTTCCTCATCTTTTTCCACTCGATTCCATTGACGCCAAAACTACATGAACTTTGCTGCCACAAAACGCCCCCATTCTTCTCGTTGAAAGCACCGACTACTTCTTTGGCTCCATCTTGCTGATAATCTCCACCAAGAATTTCAGAGCCTTCGTTCTCAAACTTAAACATGAAAACTGCATTCCCGTTGTTCAAATCATTATCAAACAACCAGTTATACACGTCCCACGAGACTTGTATTGAAACGCCATCTACTTCAATACGTTCATTGCCTCTAAATTTCCACTTAAGTCGCTTCACTTGCAAAACCCTTTTGTTATCAACGCTAAAACACAGCTTCCCATCCTCGTCCGCTTTAAATTCAATAGAAATTTCCCTATTTTTGCCTCCAAATCTAGCTTTTGTGTTGTACACTTTGTTGCCGAGCACGTGTTCTCTTCTCAAAACAAGAGCTTGGCTTTCCCTAGGCTTTTGAGCTCTAGTTCTGGCATAAGCCTCTTTGGCAGAATCGCCAACAAGAAGCGCCATTTCTCCATCAACAACAATAGCAATATAGAATCCAGAGTCGGGTTCCGGCCCGGATCCGAACTTGGCCCTGGAAAGGTCCCAGAAGACTTGAACATTAGGGACCGTGGAGCTGCTCAGTTTCTTATATCCATGTTTCTTCCAAAAAATAAAGGGCTTAATAGGCAGATGAAAATTGAGGGTGGTGAACGAAAGGGAGGCAGGGAGAGGGAGCGGAGAAGAGGGAGAGTAGTGAGAGGAAGGGTGGAGGTGGAGGTGGAGAGAGTGGCCAAGGAAAGTCCGTGACCAGGTGAGGGAAAAAAGGCCGAGACTTGTGTTGTAGAGACTCGTAGCAAGATCCGTTTTACCTGAGATCTGTGGCGGCGGTGGCGGTGGAGGAGGTGCTATGAAGCTTCCATCGGCGGTGGACCAGGGTCGGAAACAAGAATGGAACGAAGGGGAGTGGTGGTGGGATTGAAGAGGCATCCTTTGTTGGCTTGAGATTTGTGTGAAATGAAGTTTCAAGGGATTTCCAATGGAGGCTGTATATCAGCAGGGCCTTATAAGGATGGGTTTTTTCAAGGGATTGAAAGTTGAGACTTTAGACTTTCCTACCTGAAATTTTTCGTTAGGGCCATTTTTTTTAATTAGATAGACTAAAGATTTTTATTTTTCTGAACAATTTAATCCCTTGCATAGAAAAATATATATTAATCTTTTATGGTGATGCATTGCAAGTAATTAACAAATAATAATGACTAATTACATATTAATGCTTCTTGAAATTTGACCAAGGTCAAACCGGATTTTATTATTTTAAACACAACCATTTATTTATGTAAATACACTACATACTCTAATATATGTCTCATTTACCTAATCATATTTTATAACTAAAAATAAAATTGTTTGGTAGGAAATTAAAACTATGAATGTTTTGGGTTATAAAAAATAATGGTAATGCATAACACATTCCAAAAATTTATATTAGGTTGTTGAACTTGTATGAATGTAGTTGTTGTGGCAAATTACTTCCAACCTTTCTCTTTATTTTTCTCAACAAATATGGTTTAACTTCATTCAATTTGTTTCCTCTAAAGAACAGACTCCACTCGCTTTGTTTAAATTAAAGCCTCTGAAAATCCGGTAGCCATGATAATACATGCCAACTTCAAACTTAAAATTTTCGAGAATTATTGTTTTTATAATTTATAAATATATAAGATATTGCCAGCAAATGGCATTATTTCGAGGGTCCAAAGAAACAATTGGAAAGAGGCAGAATTAGTATTAAAGGTTTGACGATGGAGTCTAGGTTTAATTATGCACACGATTGGACCAATTCTCATTTAAGTTGGGAACATAACATGTGATGTTTAACCAAGCATGATGCCGGAAGTGGAAACCAAATGACTTTAAAAGAAAAACATCCCAAACTGTTTGATTTAATCACTTCGCTGCTAAGACGACGATAGCTTGACTGGGACGGCTCTTTGGTCCAACATCATCCAATTGTGGAGTAAAGTAGGGTCATCGAAAGCTAACAAGCAGCCATGTCCCAGCCGGTTCATCGTATTTGTTTAGTTGAAGCCGTGAATGGATAACTCTCTCAACGAAGCTGGCATTGTCTCCTCGGTTACTCGGTGTCCATCCTTTGCTTTTAATTCGGACAGCTGGTACATCCATGTACTCGCAATCTCGTTGGACCATTTTTTCTTTATTGTTATGCTTACCCTCACCAAAATACAATCTTCCACGGCCTAATTGGCTGGAGTTGGTGAAGTTTCCTGGAAAATGTTTCAAGTTACAAATACGATCATTGAAATAAAATCAAAGTGTACGTTACATAATTGTTAATTTTGAAGTCAATAGGTCAAAAGTGTGTGGGAGGGAAAAATATTTTACATTGGACTGCGTCAGGCTGATTCCAAGGATTAATAAAACTCAGACTAAACCCGTGCTCAGATTCGACTTGTACAAGTTTGTAGCGTGTGGATCATGAGACATTTGAAGATTGAAGACTTATAAGGGGATTTGTCAAAGTAAACTGCCAAGAAAAGAAGAAAGTTGACCCGTTGCATCACAAGACTCAAAACCAACACGCGGTTTTAACAACGCAGTGATCAAAGTTGAACTCAAGATTAGTTTTTTGAATCCATTTCTTTTACATTGTTTGTTAGAGTCGCAGGCAGCTTGTTGGAAAAAGACACTCCAATTTAATTATTAACATCAAACACAATTAAAAATTCTTTTTTCCTTTTTTTGGTTTTAACCAACAACTGCTAACTCGGTAATTAATTTACTGATTAATCAAAGGAAAGACGGATCTATCTATGATAATCTGCAAATTTAATGATGTGTTCAGACATCAAGCTAACTCTTTACCTAAATATTCTCCAAACTCTTCCAGCTACGACACTATCCAACAGATGTCTTACCATCTTAATTCTAGCTTAATTAATTAGGGTAGCTAACCCAAAAGTATATGGAGTTGTTGAACTCATCAAATAAGATGTGGGTTTCCATTTTCTTGCGGTTTTACTCTGTGTTTTATCTAATGTTTTTTTAGTTGAAATATCGGGGGCGTCACTGCATAAAGACGGAGTTCCCTGCCATGTGAGTTGAAGTCTGATAAGGCTGAGCCCAGGGAGATGGGTTTGAACTTCGAAGAGTATAATCCTTACTTAAAGCTGGCAGCCCTAATCTGTCATCATGACTAATTCCAGGCCACACATCTTTCTTAGAGGGCCAATTAAGGCACTAACTACGGAAAACAATTGGTTTTTTTTTTTTTTGCCGTATTATGGATTCCAGCCCATGCACATTTTCCAAGGTAAACTGGTTTGAAACCTTGCTAATATACTATTATGGACTGATCCAGTGGACATTATGATAAAGCAATGGAGCTGCAGCAAAGTGTTTTCATGTCGTGGAATCTGACAAACCAAAATACAATTCCATCATCGCTTTATAATTTTTCTATACAAGGAGAATTTTTTTATTATATTAACTTTAAAACCTGAAACTTGAAGGGACTAAAAAAGAAATTTTCCCATTATGGGAACTGTTAATTAGATCAGCCCTTGGGTGGGGAAGGTCTTCCTGTATTTAACATTTCAACTGCACAATGATAACCGATTGAAATGAACAGTGCTGAATACTAAAAAGAAAGTAAATTACATATTTTAGTCACTTAATTGTTCGTGTGGTTTAATTTTAATTATTTAATATTTTATTTTTGAATTATCTAATATTATATTTTTAATTTATTTTAGTCACCAATCATTAAAAAATTAATTGTAATGTCGATGTGTCACTATAAGATAATGTCATATCATCATTAAAAAAAATGTCACGTTAATAGTTTTGTCAATTTTTTTTTGACAACGTGTAACTAAAATATAACATTAGATATGATTTTATAAAAATAGTTAGATGATCAAAACGAAACTATTTGAATAGTTGGGTGACTAGATACATACTTTACCCGGAAAAAAAAAAGCAATCACGATTGCAATGGAATCTAATGAAATCTCCAAAGCTTAAACGGATAAATATACACATAAATGTCTATAATTGGATGGAATGAAACTTGAATACTAGTGGATTACAGGGCAGGTATTGCTTTAGCAAAGTTTCAATATAATTGCATTTATGATACTGACAGTGATGGCACTAGCAATATGAAAGAAAATGATATTTACAATTAATTGGCGCATAATTCATTCCCTAAAAGATGCTTACATAATAAGTATGACAATGATTTACGAAAGGACAATTGGGAAGGAAGAAAGAGCCGGTAGGTCCCCTTTCATCTTTGTATCGTCTTTCTATCATAAAGGAATGGAGGTTTTAGGACACAAACAATATACATGTTGGCATTCACATGGTCATACATGTGAACAGAATGGAGATACAACAGGAAGAAGATGACATTCCATGCCATGGCATGCACTGCACCATGATGTCTAGAGGCCCTCCTTCTACATATAAAAATCTGAGGTTCTGTTAGTAAAGCAATTTTAAAGGACTTTTTTTTTTATGATCCAGAAGTTGTTGAAACTAACCTTGGCCTTTTTCAGGGTGTAGGCCAATAACCTTTTTGTAGCACTCTTGAAAAAAGTTTGGATTTTTGCATGACTCACTTCATTCAACGAATCAAAAACAAAGATAATACCCCATTAGGATGACAATCTCAGCACAAATTTAAAAGAATTACGTGATATCTGGAAAGGGTTTTAAGGGCATATGATTGTCTTTACCCCCCAACATTTCCTCACGAGATTCTATACATCATGATTGGTTTTTGACCACTTTTCTTCTAAGGAAGATCTCACCCTTGACTCTTGTGTTCTTCCCTCTATTTTTTTCACTAAGATGTGCAATCTAAGGGAATCAAGTAGTAAAGTTTTTTTTTTACTAGGTTCACCGGAAGGAGCGCAACTCCACTTCTTAGAACCAGATACTCTGTTATTTTCCAACTCAGTACTTGAATTTCAACATCAATCACCGATAACAATTACAAGAATATTTAATCAATTCATACAAGAGCATTCAAGACAGTTCTGTATCGCCTGGTGACAGAATTCAGACTTCATTCAAGTTGCCAGGCCATGACCATGAACAATTGCAAGAATATTCAATCATTTCATGGTAAGGTGGAATTACAGAATGTTTTTTTAGATAAGAGAATTGGTAGGTCTGTTTAAAAATATCAGAAGCCAAAGGTGATCAAAGTTTCAAACTATTAATGATGGTAAAACTCACTAACATGCCATGATGTTAATCACTTTTGCTGAATCAAAAGTGAAACAATATAATGAAAATGAAAACAACTTTATTTATTTATTTTCTTTTGAAATGGTTGTGGGAAACAAAATCAATTTCCAAACAGGTGAACCATCATGAAGTTTCATTGATGGAGACTAGACACTAAGAACAAAAAAGCATTCATTCATTTTTATACTTAAAATAAGCCATCCATGCAAGTTAATCATAGAAAATTAGGTTAAATCATATTTGCTCTTAGCTCTTTTTACATGACAATTATTATTTCCTTTGGATCAAGTAAAAATGTTCTCTATATATATATAAAAAAAGCAGTGAAATCCTGCTTATAATTTTAAGACTTATCGGTTAAAACTATAATAACCATCAAATGTTTTGGATCAACTTGAATAGGGTTGTTTCAGTTCAATTAAGGTTTCGAGTTAAGTGTTTGAGATAATTATCTTTATCTATATGATTCGATAAAATTAGCTTTTACTTGAACTGTTAAACTAACATGTAATGGACAGCCGTAGTTCATAAAAAAGGAAAGACTATTGTAAAACAACCGGATAAAAGGTTAATTAGGCTTGTATCGTTGCATCTTCTTTATTTCCATATTTGTCAAAAAAGGGCAAGTTGTTTCCAGATCCCCAAGAATTTTTGGCTAATCAAGTTGTTTTAAATTAATATATTCTAAAGGTGCTCTAGTTTTCTTTCCTCATTCTTGGGTTGTTTGTCTTACCTAATTTAGAAGTAAAGATACTGCTATTTTTAGCTATACCG